GGGTTAACTATCAGGCTAACAGTCTGGTTAACTATCAGGCTAACAGTCCGGGTAAAACAGTCTGCTAGTTAGCTAACGAGCGAATGCTATTTTTAGCGTAGTTGTATCTTTCAGTTTCAAATATTGTTTATTATGAATTTAAATGAATAACGTTCCTACGTTTTTATTGCATCACATAAATTTTAGTTAAGACTTAAACGAATGACAGATTTAAATGTAATTTAATTTGAACTGAACTGAATTTTCTTCAGTGTCTTTCTGAGCTCAACCATCTTCCATCAGCCTGTTTCTGTCTTTCTACAACTTTCTGTGTCTTTGAAACACTTTGACTTCAGAGATGCAGCACTTTGATGATAAAAGGGTTAAATCTCAACACCGGATCAGGTCTGTGGGTCACGGTTCTGGGAGCAGACCGGCAGGAGACCCGCTGCGGTGTGGACCGGTCTCCAGGCTCTCCCCGCTGCGAGCCCGGCCACGAGCACCGAGCCCCGTCCCCGGACACGGACAGGAGGGCACCCCGCTAACGGAGCTCTGTCCCCGGACACAGACAGGAGGGCACCCCGCTAACGGAGCTCTGTCCCCGGACACAGACAGGAGGGCACCCCGCTGACGGAGCTCTGCCCCCGGACACAGACAGGAGGGCACCCCGCTAACGGAGCTCTGCCCCCGGACACAGACAGGAGGGCACCCCGCTAACGGAGCTCTGCCCCCGGACACAGACAGGAGGGCACCCCGCTGACGGAGCTCTGCCCCCGGACACAGAAAGGAGGGCACCCTCAGCTCTCCTCGGCGGGCAGGTGGAGAAGACTCTGACGTCACATCACACCTGTCAGGTCTTCGGCTCCACTCGGGTTTCCTCGGCTGGTGTCGCTGCAGGTGGTGACGTCATTCTGTGATTTTTAGGAAAAAGGCTCTCTGTGTTTGTTGTTGTTGTTTTGCTGGAGTGCTTGTTGTTGTGGGGCCGTTGCCTGGTTACCGCCTCAGAGCCGGACCCAGCCGGACTGTCAATGAGGCTGTTGAATGGGGGGGGGTTGTTGTTGTTGTTGTTTCAGTGCTCTCTCTGCCCCCCCCCCCCTCCAGGATGGCGTCTTGGCGGCGGTGGCTGTTGGCCGTCCTGCTGCTGTGGCTCCTCCTCTTCCTGTTGCTGCTCTGTCACTTCCTGGACCTCCGGTTCTTGTCCCCTCCTCGGACCAGATCAGCAGCAGAACCCGGACTGTCCTGGGCCGAAACCCGCCGCCTGGCCTCCGCGGCTCGGGGGCCAATGGGGCCCCGGCGCCGGTCGCTCGGACCTGCCGGGGCCTCGGAGGAGGACTGGAGGAGGAGGTCTGAGGACTACTACAGGAGGCGGTCCCTGGAGGTCCTGCAGAGGTTCTGGACTGGGAATCTGACGGTGGACATGCTGGGTCCGCGACTCCAGAAGGTCCTGAAGGTCCAGCTGAGCTCCAACAAACACCAGGTGGTGTACCGTGGGCCGCGGGGGCCCCGCAGGTCCGGTCCTCAGCTGTACTGTGACCTGAAAAGGAGGACCAGGATCCGGACCGTGGACGGGACCGAGGAGCCGTTCTCCAGTCTGGGCTGGGCCCGCCTGGTGCCGCCGCGGCCCCTGCAGGAGCTCCAGGCGCCTCAGTACCGGACCTGCGCCGTGGTGACGTCAGCGGGGTCCATCCTGAACTCCTCGCTGGGGGCCGAGATCGGTGAGACCTGGTCCACGTCACCAGTAAACAGCAGTAGTAAACAACAACAACAACAACAACAGACAGCAGTTATTATTGATTGTGTTCATAAGCAGGTACATGAACTGCACACTAAGTGTAAACAAATGTAAACACAGTAAACAAAGAGTAAACAAACCTGTTGTCCTCCGTGGACTCAGACTCCCATGATGCAGTTCTGCGGTTCAACTCCGCCCCCACCAGAGGCTTCGAGAGAGACGTGGGAAACAAGACCACCATCCGCATCATCAACTCCCAGGTACAGGCCCCGCCCCCTCGCCTCACCTGTCGTCTCCTCGTCTCCTCGTCTCCTCTGTCCTTTAGCTCCTTGTTCTCCTTCGGCCCGTCCTCATGTGTCTCGTGCCCCTCCCAGATCGTGGCCCGTCCGGAACACCGCTTCAGCAGCAGCTCGCTCTATCGTGACGTCACTCTGCTGCTCTGGGACCCGGCGCCGTACTCGGCCAACCTCACCGCGGTAACCGGCCCGGTTCTGGTCCAGTTCACTAAAGAGGAGGAGGGGAGAGTCTGATGGTGTCTGCTGGTGTCAGTGAGGAAGGTGTAAACAAACTGTAAATAACAAACAGCAAAGTGTAAACAACAATAAATATGCTGCAAACAAAAGTAAATGAAGTGTAAACAAATGGTAAACAACATTAAATAGTAAGCAAGCCAACCGTTATCAACAGTAAATAATGTGTAAACAACAATAAATAGTGTGTAAACAGAGTAAAAACAGTGAAGTATAAACAACAGTAAATAAGGTGTAAATAAACAGTAACCAAAGCATAAACAACAGCATAAATAACGGGTCAACAAAAGTTGCCATAGTGTAAACAACAGTAAACAAAGTGTAAACAACAGTAAACAAAGTGTAAACAACAGTAAATAAGGTGTAACCAAAAGTAAACAGGGATAAACAGTAAAGAACATGTAAACAACAGCAAGCAAGTGTAAACAACAGCAACTAACTTGTAAACCATGTGTAAACAGTAAACATGTGTAAACAGTAAACAACAGTAAACAACAGTAAACATGTGTAAACAGTAAACAACAGTAAACAAAGTGTAAACAATGTGTAAACAACAGTAAACAACATGTAAACGACATGTAAACAACAGTAAACAATGTGTAAGCAACAGTAAACAAAGTGTAAACAACAGTAAATAAGGTGTAACCAAAAGTAAACAAGGATAAACAGTAAAGAACATGTAAACAACAGCAAGCAAGTGTAAACAACAGCAACCAACTTGTAAACAACAGTAAACAATGTGTAAACAACAGCAACCAACTTGTAAACCATGTGTAACCAACAGTAAACATGTGTAAACAGTAAACAACAGTAAACAAAGTGTAAACAAGAGTAAATAAGGTGTAACCAAAAGTAAACAGGGATAAACAGTAAAGAACATGTAAGCAACAGTAAACAATGTGTAAACAGTAAACAATGTGTAAACAGTAAACAAAGTGTAAACAATGTGTAAACAACACTAAACAACATGTAAACAACATGTAAACAACAGTAAACAATGTGTAA